CTCTCACTTTTAAGGAATTATCCTTAAAAATAGGAATTTTGAAGAGTTTTAAGGATTTTTTTAAGAAATTTACGTTTTTGAGGATTTTTTTAAGGAATTTTCGAAATATTTTATCCTGGACTAAAAACGTTGGACGGAGGATAACCACGCCGCGCAAATGAGATTTAAACTTGAGAGTAGCAACATTATACGCACATAATTACATATATTCGCATGTTCTCTATGTCATAAATGTACATATGGCTGTCTTTTCCAGTGGCGGACATTAGGAGGGGGCTATGGGGGTGGGGGGGTGGGGGGGTGGGGGGGGAGGGGCCTGAGCCCCCAATAATTTTGAAAGACTGTAAAAATCTCGTACTAAATTACACAAATCACACTCATATAACGTAATTGTCATCATAATATAATAGTATATGTTTCTGTACATGGCTTGGCATGTGATTTATAACAAAACGCACCGTTAAAACAGTGTTTTGAAACCCTAGTTTTTTACAAAATGTGTTCTCAGAACGCTGCAAATGCCATGTCCGGGATTCAAATTTAAAAATTTTCGAGCCCCCCCCCCCCCCCCCCCCCCCCCGCCAATATTTTGTAAAGTGCCCGCCACTGGTCTTTTCATTAAAATTCTCAAAAGTTAAATGTCAGTATATGCTGTTTCTTCTGAAATCTACAGATTTTTTAAGCTCTTAAATCAAAAATACATCATGTTGAATGTTTTCTTTATGGCATTATGCTAACAATGAAATGTTTTCAATTTTTAGTGCTTGGAAACAAGGTTAAAAACTGAAAAACAGAAAAAAGGAGGAAAAAAACACTTTTTGCAACTGTGTGATCAGGCCTTGTGGTAATTTTACCAATTTAAGGAATTTTAAGGAAATCTGAGGAATTTTCGAGCTTTTTCTAAGGAATTCGAAAATTTGATTGTGAGAGCACTGTGTGCAACTGAAAGGGCATTCAAATTTTAACAATATGCTTGATTTCTATAAAAATGCCCAAAAAGCTATAAAACTATGGGATATGTCACGTACAACTCACAAAAAATATAAAAAAGACTTGTTAATTCATAAATTTCACATATATATATTTTAAATAAAAAAGACAGCATATAATTTCAGTGTTTCTTTATTGATTTCCCTTTTTTATTATATATTAAAATTTTTAAATAAAAAAGAAAGCAAAGTTGTTTGAATGCGAGAATTTGACATATTTTATTTCAAACTCAACGTTTTTCGATAAAGGCAGTTTAGTTTTATAAAGAACATTTTAAAACGTCTTGTGAAGCATTTGAGGTTGAATTTTACCATAAATTGAAGCTTATATTACGTATAATAACATACCTAACATATATATGTTTGGGGAATTGATAATTTTGTAATTAAAAGTGATATTTTTAGGGGATATTTCTCATTTGTAAAAATATTCTTAACAAAATTATCGTGTTACCATGACAACTACTTTAAATACTTCATGTTTGGAAAATACAATGGTTTGTCAGCAAGGCGAGGTGTTTCTGCATGCATGTACTTTCTAGTATTTATATATTTTATGATATTGTGTTTTATAACATGTCTGCACCAGAAGTGCACATGTTCGGAATTCTCATAACTTTTACATATTTCCTGCATTTTCGGCTATTATATTGCATATTTCTTCTTTTTAAAGTTATTTCCCCCAATGTACATTGAGATATTTCTCCTATTTATTTTTATAATACACCTTTATGACCCAAGTGTATGACAAGCATTTACCCGACTATAAAGTAAATACTGCCTGATTTGCCTTGTTTGCCCAACAATCTGGGGCAGCAAAGTATGGTTTTTGAACCAAACATTTGTTTAACTCTTTGCTGTGGCTGAAATTGACAATGTTTTGGAGGAAATTCTTCAAGTATAATCTTCAAGATTTCAGCATGGAAGGTCAGTAGAGTCATTTTGTATGGAAACTACATGGAATTATTAAATTATTATTTTATGTGATATTTCTGTCATGATATTTCTGATTTGGAACCTTAATTAAATTTCTATTTTAATATTTTATAGTCCTTTAGATGTACTGCATTGTAATTTGTTTGATTTTGTCTAGATAAGTTTTGGTCTGGATTATAAAATTGATGTTAGACTAGGTGAGGAACAAGACCATCAAGTAAAGAAGAGTTGAAATTATACTAAAATTATATAAATGACATATGTTCTGATTATAAACACAGTTAATACACAATGAGGCAAGCATCAGAAATCGTCTGATTCAATTGGGCAGACTGCAGAGGAGGGCATAATGGGAATGGTGTGAATGATAGTCAAATGGAGGAGCAAAAATATATAGTAAAATATGTTAATCTATTTAAGTAGTTGTAGTTAATCTATTTAAGTGTAATTGTCAACTGAGAACATTTCCCGTACGAAAAGTTACAGCCTGACTGAGCGAGATACTGGCCAGACTCTGGCCATAAACCAATTAAAGCAGCGGTAATTGAGCGAGACGCAACCAGACATTGGTTTTGTCTCGCTGCCTGTTACGAACGAGACATGTGTATCGCTTGTTTATGGCCGAGAATTTGGCCTGGATGAGCGTGACATCGCAAGACAAATTGTCTCGCTCAAACGAGACAATTGTCACGCTGCTTTTACAGCGAAACATGGACGATAATATAGCGAGGCAGAGCGAGACAAGCAACAGAAATTCCTTTGCGTGCCATGAAAATGTGAGATTATTATCATATCCGGCGAAAATTGAAAGAAACTGAGCACGACAAGAGCGTTACGTTAAAAATTTAATTTGTTTTGTCTCGAATGACAAGGCGCGCAATTTGGGGAATTATTATAATGACAATTTAGGCCATTATATTGGTTAGTATATATCAACGATTTTAAGGCCGTTTTAAACGTCGGTAAAAAGTCATACCATTAGTTTATTATATACAGACCAAAACGAAGCCGTTATTCCATGACTTAACGGCCTCGTTTCGTTCAGTATACTGGCAGTATCAAAACGAAGCCGTTATTCCATGACTTAACGGCCTCGTTTCGTTCAGTATACTGGCAGTAACTGGGGAATTATTATAATGACAATTTAGGCCATTATATTGGTTAGTATATATCAACGATTTTAAGGCCGTTTTAAACGTCGGTAAAAAGTCATACCATTAGTTTATTATATACAGACCTATAATGACAATTTAGGCCATTATATTGGTTAGTATATATCAACGATTTTAAGGCCGTTTTAAACGTCGGTAAAAAGTCATACCATTAGTTTATTATATACAGACCAAAACGAAGCCGTTATTCCATGACTTAACGGCCTCGTTTCGTTCGGTATATTGCGCAGTAACGAACGAAGCCGTTATTCCATGACTTAACGGCCTCGTTTCGTTCAGTATACTGGCAGTATCAAAACGAAGCCGTTATTCCATGACTTAACGGCCTCGTTTCGTTCAGTATATTGGCAGTAACGAAAAGAAGCCGTTACTCCATGACTTAACGGCCTCGTTTCGTTCAGTATACTAGCAGTATCAAGACGAAGCCGTTACTCCATGACTTAACGGCCTCGTTTCGTTCAGTATACTAGCAGTATCAAGACGAAGCCGTTATTCCATGACTTAACGGCCTCGTTTCGTTCGGTATACTAGCAGTATCAAGACGAAGCCGTTATGCCATGACTTAACAGCCTCGTTTCGTTCAGTATACTAGCAGTATCAAGACGAAGCCGTTATGCCATGACTTAACGGCCTCGTTTCGTTC